AAACCCCAAAACCCCAAAACCCCAAAACCCCAAAACCCCAAAACCCCATGAAGATGTATAAAATGATTGGAGCTATTTATTGAAGCATAAGATATATATAAAATCAAAGAAGATGATGCATTAATTTGCTGATTCTAATCAAAATGGTTTATCCTTTCTAGGATTAGTAGGTGGCTTGATAATCTACCAGATCGCATGCCCGACACCTTCACCAGCTTCATAAGGTACATTATATTCTCCTCTTGATGAGGATGCGAAGAATAAAACGGTGTCTCTTAGGGCATCGAAAATATTACCAAAGTTGAAAACAACATTATCGATAACATTACTTGGATATTACAATTTAACGTAGCCAGCGAGACCAAGTGCACTCTCTTTTAATCCAGTATAGCATGACTAAGTGATGTTATTAACATTATAGATCATATCTAGAATGGTCCAGCCTACTTTAAAGCCTAAACCACTCTGTGTTTAGTTGACCATTAACAAAAAGTTTTTGTCCCATTTATCTGAAACTTTTTTCTCACATACACTCATATTATTAGTTTTTAAAGTCTTAGTTCCATTTGCAATGCCTCTTAAGAAACTTACGATTCCACCTGCTGAAAGCATTTGTTATGCACCTGTTTTACTTTCTTTAAGTCTTGGATGAGCCTCCTTCAATAAATAGTCAGAAATGAAATCATCATCATATAATTCGAAATCTGTTTGTAAATTAGTTTCAACTTCTTGTACTAGCTCTTCAGAATTTAAAATTTTATCCTCTTCTTATCGTTGATTTATATCCTCATTATAGAATGGATTTGCTGATTAAAGAGAAGCGCTTTCAATCTCAGGGAAGTCTAGCAAGAGAATAGCTAGCTTACCTGCCTATTCAAACAACGAAGTAACATTATTTTTAGTTATTGCATCAGTCAAAGTCTTTTGATATCTCGTCAAAACAATGGCATTACCAATTAAGTTTTGGAAAAATGATGTTAGCACTGATGTCATGGATGAAAACTGAGAAAAACGATATTCGTTGTAGTAAACATAATTTTCAAAAGCATCAAAGCAAATCATAACATTATTGGTGACGGTGCTTACGAATTTAGTGCTATTATAGATTTGATCCTCTACGTTCCCATAATAATACCTCCACTATAATAACAAAGTCTATTGATAATATGTGTCGAAGCTCCTCCTTAAGCAGTTGGTTGCATTGGCAGCGTAAGTATTAGCATTGCTTCCTTGAGCAAAAGCTAATCCATAAGATAGATACAGTTGTTAATTAGTTCTATCTACCCATGGCTTTACTGGAGACTCAGTTGCTCTCAAGTTTATCTTCTATCGAATACTACTGCTAGACTGTTCTTATCCTAATTCTTACCATTCAGTCTTTACAGTCTCAAATACATTATTAAACTCATCTGAATTCTTTCCTTTAATGTCACCTTATTTTGATTCTTAGTTTAATGTAAGGACTGGAGAGGCTGACAAGTATAAAAGTACCACTAATAGTGTTACTTTTTAAAAACTTAAGCGGAAGTGTTATTGCTATACTACCATTTAGCCAATTTATTATTATTGAAATCTAATTTATTTCTTAATTCACATTTGAAATCAATTTTTACCCAACGGGGTTTTGGGGTTTTGGGGTTTTGGGGTTTTGGGGTTTTGGGG